TGGTATCCCAGCATCCTTTGGACCAAGCATGGAGGTAAAAGAGCCCAGAGGTCTGAAAAGGGGTGTAGGACTTAACACTTCTCAGGAGTTTCATCAGGACCTATTTATTAGTAGGCATAAGAGTAGCTGTGTTAATGTAGCTCGCTTCCTATTTTCTAAAGCTGTTTCAGTGGTCATGGGGTCCTCCTTTCCAAGGAAGATCACATACTTCACTTTTATGTATTTTTAAATTTTTGTGTGTGTGCATCTGTGCATGTGTGTGTGTTGATTTGAAGTGTTCCCAATTGCTCCCTACCGATACTTTTCTCTCTCCCTCTCCCCCCATCCCCGTGTGTGTGCATGTGTGCACTTGTGTGAGTTTGGCGCCTGCTAGTATCCTTGGTGATCAGGAGAGAGTGTAGGTCCCTGGAATTGGAGCTATAGGTGATTCTAAGCCATATAGATACTGGGAAACAAACCCTGGTCCTTTGCTGGAGCTTCAAGTACTGCTGAGCCATCTCTCCAGTCCTCTCAGTCTGTTCATTGATTCGGCAAGGCTGGCTAGTCAGCCAATGAGCTCCATAGTCTGCCTGTCTCTGGATCCATTTGTCTACATGTAGAGTTACAGGTGCACACTCAGACATGCCTAGCTTCGTACATGGTCCTAGTGATCTGAGCTCAGATACTCTTACTTGCCTGGCAGGCACTTTATCAACTGAGCCATTTTTCCAGCTGGACGTACTTTCCTTCTAAAATCTATTGGTCTAAATTAAAATAAACTTATTTTAACAATGTAGAAACAGGATATTTGGAATCATACCTTAATTTCAGAGTGGATGGTAACCAAAGAGAAAAGCGTTTTGTTAGAAAGTACCACTGTCTGGGAGCGTGGGAGTAGCCACCAAATTCCCAAGGTTGTTGATCCTACAGAGCTCTCCCAAGCCCTGAGTGAGTCCATGGAACTAATTAATTGCCATGGGTAATCCAGAGGATGAGCATTCAGGACTGAGCTGGAGCAAGGAGGGAAGGGAAATATTAAAAGTCAGAATTGAGAAAAGAGTGCATTGTGGGTAAATGTCAAACACTAGCCAAGGACTGGGAAGTAAGAGTTTGGATTTCCTTGATAAAACTACCTGTGTATGACTTCGACTATGATTAGCCTTTTTTTGTGGGCTTCAAGAGAGTTGGACAACATGTTTCTGTTAATTTCAGCTCATGAGTTTTGTCAGCTCATGGGTTTCTGAATGAATTTCTAAGGATGGGGGTTAGTTAGGGGAGAGGGAGAGAGAACGAATGAACCAGGCCGGCTTTCCCAGCTCTCTGGGTTTCTGACTATCCCAAGCAGGTTTGGGAGGAATGTGTTTAAGTTCCTAGTTACAGTTAGAGGTTCTAGAGGGAGGGGCTGAGTTCCTTGGCAAGGGTGGTGTGTGTGTGTGTGTGTGTGTGTGTGTGTGTGTGTTGAGTGGGTCAGGAGATGAGGGCTTGTAATGGGAACTTTGCTGTCTTAGCTCAGGGGCTCATAAAAGGTAAATGCAGTCATGTGCTCTAAGGGCCTGCCACTCCCCTGGGACCCACTGTGGGGTAACCCCTTCTCAAGAGGGATGGTGTCTGCAGAGAGGACTCTCAGGGGATGGTGCTTTTTTGGAAAGAGGAACTTCATGATTAGAAATGAAGCAGAAAAGGTGTGAGTGTGTGTGGGGAGGGGCCGTGGAGAAGGCAGTTAGGGAGAAGAGTGAGCTAGAAAAGAAAGTGGGAGGGACCGTGGGTAAGTTCTGATCTCCGTGGTTTGCTGTGTGCCTGCTTTTTCAGAACAGGCTTTATTCATAAGGCAGGTGCGGATTCCCTTCCTTCACCCTCATAAGAAACACTCTAGGTTTTAGAGAGGGTCGTGGACTTTGAACCCTTGCCTCAGTCCCAAACTATTAGTCCCTTTGTCTCATCCACCCTAGAGAGGTTCGAGAAGCATGCCTTCGGCTTTTTTTTTTTTTCTGCTGTGTGCATCTAGTCAAACTGGATTCAGGGAAGCTGTTAATGACTCCAGAGTACTGCACTCTGGCTCTCTGCATTAGTGTTCTATCCTGTGAACAGCTCAGGAGGGGCTTCCTGCCTCTGTAGGGCTGGCAGAAGTAAGTCTTTGAGGGCTGGAGATAGGGTCTCACTGGGTAGCCTAAATTGGGCTTCAACTCTTAATCCTCCTGCCTCAGCCTACTGAGTACTATGGTTACAAGTGTGAGCTCACAACTGCCTGTAGCTTCTTCGATCTTTTTACACCAACCACCTCATCAGAGATTCCATAAACCCTAGTTCAAGATGGAGTATGCTAAGTACTCTACCGGTTCTAATTTTGAAGGAGGGGTGCTAATTACTAGTGTGAAACCAGGAAAGGAGGAGTATGAGAATGGGGGACCCAGAAACAGTACAACAGGGAACCACTTTATGATCCCAGGTTGGGGGCAGGGGTGCGGTAGGAGTCATCCAACACAATCTCAAGCGGTAATAACCCCCCGTTAATTGGGAGGTAATGGTCCTTGGCATTTTCATCTTCAAAGCCAAGAACAAACTGTAATTAATGCTCCCACCACCCGGGGGCAGGGTGGAGTGTAGGGAACCTTGAACTACTGCTACTCAGGGAAACTGAGGCACTGGCAGAAAGTCTTTAGGAAAAAGGATTGGAGCCAAGCACAGCTGGGATCTTTGGGGAGCTTGGAACACATCAGAGCATTGCCCTCTCTAAAACCTGACAGCCTGGAGAGAGAGAGAGAGACAGAGAGACAGAGAGACAGAGAGACAGAGAGACAGAGAAGCCAAGATCTCTTGGAGGAGCATGGGAGAACCTATACAGGCCTCGCCACAGGTGGTGGCAGGGTAACTGGGTTTGCTAGTGGCCCAACCTCAGGAGCTCCAGCTCAGACTGTGACTAGTTTCCCATAGCAGGACCTAGGATGCTCCCAGGGTGGATTTGCAGCCTCCTCCTGCTCCTCAGTGTGCTGCCATGTCTTTAGAGTGCAGAGAGAGAAGACGCAGAAGTCCTTCGAGTCCAGAGGCAGGCGGACTCCCTGCACATTCAGAGTGACTCATCGGGGCGACTCCGAAATGCCTCCTGGTTTCTTCATCTCAGTCTGGCTGCCCCAAGCCCGGAGGGAGTTTTTCATTAGCGTGATTATCCTGCTGTTGTTAAAAGCTGGTAAATCTCACCCAGGGACAGAGGCCGGGAGCTGCTTCTGAACTGCAATCCGAGTTCATAGGTCCCCAGCTGTGGGCCAACGGCACCAATTCCATCTCTCCTGTTCAAACCCTAATGTCCTGGGTACCAGGGGCAAGACCTTTAGGCTTTATGCGGTCTCAGGGGCTTGTCATGGGTCTCACTGTAGTCGTGGTATTCCTCCCACCCCCATCATGCACTCCTCCCCCCTCCCCTCAATCGGGCCACTCCATGGGCCAAGTGCTCACCAGCAGGGCATACAGTGAGGTTCTGTATATCACTCTCTAAAGGACAGGATGGGGCTTCCCAGCTTTATACCTCAATCAGCATCCTTCCTGGCAGGAGTGCTGTAGAGATGCCTTGCCAACCCGCTTTCCCCCCACCCCCAGCCCCACTTGTGCAATCCTTTGATAAGTGTGCCCCTTCAACAAATGCAGAAGTGTAACTTTGATTTTGTGTACCATTGCACCCCTAATCTTACCTGACCCCCATCCACTTGGCACCAGCATCTGCTGTCTAGTAGGCCTCTGCCTTTTTTGAATTACGAAGTCTCTTCAGGGAGTAACAGAACTGTTTAATGACCTCTTTTCCCACCATTCCTTCTCTTTGCCAGCATCTGGAGGGTATTCATTGTGTGCCCACCGCAGGGGTCACACACTGGGATAAGGCATTGATGAAAGCAGCTCAGGTCTTTTCAGTGGGGGAAATGAAGGTTCATGAGGTTTCAGGGTGGACAGGGAGAGTAAACAAATATAGGTGATTTGGTGGTAAGGAGTATGGGTAAAATAAATTAGGAAGGAGCGGAAGAGTGATGTGGGCTATCTTGGCAGCTACTCTCCAACATTTGGAGATATGGCTTGGTCTGCTGGTTTGGCTATCGAAGTACTGAATTTCAGTATGGGTCAGAGTTTTAGTCCAGTTATGTCCTGGCTCACTAGATGTTCTGAAAAATTCCACATGAACGGGATTTTTGCTTTGGGGCTAGTGAGATGGCTCATTAGGCCGGGATGCTGCTAAACCCAACAACGTAAGTTTGATCCAAGTGAACTGACACTGAAAGTTGTCCTCTGGCTACATGCTAGTACCACAACACATCTATCCATACACGCACACACATACACAAATATACACATCTGAGTGTGCATATGTGCGCATGTACACACACACACACACACACACACACACACACACACACCACACATGAATCACACAGAAGCACATTAGGGACAGTCAGACTCTGAAAGCAATTGCCACTTGTTCCCTGTCCCAGGAATCAACCCCTCTTCTTCTGGATTAGCTAGCTTCTTGCTCTTCTACCAGAGGTCTTGAGGGAAAAAAAATTCTGACAGTGTTGTGGCAGGGTCATTTTCATGGTCCGAGTCCTTCTTAGATTGGCAGGGTGGGGGCAGGGGGGAATGTAACAGGGCAGCAGATCACTGGTGATGCTGGGTTTGAGTGCCCCAGCCCCAAATCTTGGGATCTGTTGGACTTTTGGGGGGTGCAGGGGAAGGGAGAAGGTGGAGAAGCTTCTTCTTGACCCCAAATGAAAGAAAAAGTAGTCATGATGGAAACTCAAACAAATTCTTCCCCATTACCCTACTTCCCTCCCGTGGTCACACTTCCGGCTGCCACCACAGGGTATTTTAGGCTCAAAAACAAAAAGCATCAGATCTATTTGAGCAACTTTTGTTCCATCGGAGTAGAAGCCCAGGGGCCTGTGGCCGCTCTGGGCTAGGCCACTTCCCCAGGGAACTGACGCGTTTCCCCTTTGCTGCCAAGGTTCAATTTAGCAACTCAGTCTGGCCAATTTTGGCTTCTCCTTTCCCTGGCTGGGCACTATGCAGGCAAGGGGCCAGATGTGGGGCTGCTAGAAGGATGGGTATGTATTTGGAGGCCTTCCTCGTGAACTTCAGGGGAAGGCCTGGTTCCCTTCTGCTAGCGCCTCCCCTCCCCTTTTCCTCCCCCAATCACACTCGCGAAACCTCCACTGTGTCATCAAAGCTCCACTTGCAGTGGCAGGTGATCGCAAAGTGAGATTTGTGGTTAGGTCAAGTCTGATCCTCCATCTCATACAAAGAGTGGTGTCTTTCTGTGTTAGTGGCAGGCTGGTGTGCGATCAGGCTGTGAGTGAGAGTGTGCTGAGGTTCAACAAGGTAATCACAAGTACAACTTGTCTAGCATGTCTAGAAAGAGGTTGGCAGAGCTGATACCCCTTAGTGTCTATCGGCTGCGTACACCATGTGATTTTGCGTGGGATGCTGTGTTGACAGTATGCATGTGCAGGTTGCATACAGGAGGTGTGTGTGTGTGTGTGTGTGTGTGTGTGTGTGTGTGTGTGAATGTGAATGCTCGTTTGCTTGTTTATGTGTGGATGGGCAGGAGCATGGCTGGTAAGAAGTTTGGTGTTCCTGACAGCTGTGGCCAGTGTCCACGTGGGCAAAGCTTAGGTTGTAGAGCAGTGGTTCTCAATCTGTGGGTTGCTTCACAAGGGTCACCTATCAACCATCCTTCTTACCAGATATTTACGTTACTATTCATAACAGTAGAAAAATGACAGCTATGAAAATAATTGTATAGGTTAGGGAGGGGGTCACCACAACATGAGGAACTGTGTTAAAGGGTTGAGGCATTAGGAAGGTTGGGGACTGCTGCTGTAGATGTTTTTGTGTGGATCAGGGCTTGAGGGCAAGTTGACAAATTGCAGCTATGGCTCAGGTAAGCCTGCTTGTACTACCAGCCAGGGGTGGGCCGCTATTGGTGCTCGTCGGTGCCTTGATCTCCACGGCTCTGTCTCCTTTCCATCCCTACAGACTACAGCATCCCCTACCAGCCAGAGTGCATGTCTCTCTCTAGTGAGCCTGTCCTTCAGGTGCTCTCTTCTGAGGCTCAACTCTGATAGGCTTCACAGTCACACCACTGGGCTGGGGCAGTGACTTGGGCACCTCTGAGTCATGGGTTTGGGTGCACATACGAAACTGCCTCTGTGTCTGTGGGTGGGAGGAAGTCTTGGGAAGCAGGGAGCTTGTGGGCTGCTGCTCAGACCCTATAGGAAGTATGTTTACCTGCTTTCACCATGAGACTGGACGTCAAAGTGGGAACCTAGGGCAGCTGCGTCCCTTTCTGACAGACTCTGTCTCTTTCTTTTTAGCCCATTACTCCTGACTCAGGATTCTAGTTCATGTTTCTATGTGTTATCCTGTGTCCCTGAAGTGAATGTGAGGGTCCCTCTGCTTGAGTTTTGTCCGACTTGATTCTGAAATAGATGTCGCCTGTGGGGGACCCCAGGGTCCTCAACTCCCTACATCTCAAAACTCCTCTAGCACCCCGCTAGAATTTTCCAGCTTTCGTAGAGAAAGGGACTCGGCTCCTTTTCATTCCTAAGCATGAAAACACTCATTCTACACTGTTGTGGTGCGTTCTCTACTGCTTTCCAAAAGAACCGTACAGAATTGTAGAATATGGAGGTGGAGGGGAACTTATGGGAAAAAAGTACTTGATTTATGAAGAAATTGAAGCCAAGAGAGGGTGGCTGACTTGCCTAGGCCAAGAGAGCAGTGGATGGCAGAGATGAACTGCCCATCAACGGCTTTATTTATTTATTTTGCAACAGAACATAAGGCAGTGCCTTTGTCTATTTCCTTTTATTCCTGATTCTTTGCTGGTCTCAGAAGCTGAGGGCGTGTGTGTGTGCGTGTGCATGTGTGTATACCTACACATCTCATGTGTCTTTTAGCAGTTATAGCAGTTACGGGGTAGGGGGGAGCACAGAGGCAAAGTTAACTACCAGAAGGAGGAACTGTATTCTGGAATCGTTACTATTAGACTGGCTAAGACAGCGGGGTAAAGTCCCAGAGGTGGATGGCTCTGTGCTCCATTCCTGCAAAGCAGATCAGACACCTGGGGAGGCTGGGGGGAGGAGTCTGAGTGATGGGTCTTTGTCTTTCCAGAAAAATGCTTGCTAGTTGCTAAGGAACTGGGTGTCTTTCCTGATCCAAGCCTCCCATTGTTGGCTCAGTTTGGGAGGAGGATTCTGGGCTGGGGCTCAAGGCATCCTAGCTAGCTGGCCCTCTCCTTGGGCTGCTGAGGCTCTTATGGGTCTGGTAGGAAGGACACTTCTCTGGAGCCTCATTACTTATTTCAGCTGAGCTGAGTAGGACGGGTGGAGGCAGGGAAGAAGAAGATATTGTGTATTTTTTGAACAGCCTGCATGCCAGACAGACACCGTGCTTGAGTGAGTATCTGCTCCGCTATCTCATTTAACTGTTGTAACCCATCCTGGAAGGAAGTCACCTTATACTCTTTACTGCATTTGAAACGGAGGTCTGAAACACTTACGTTGTTCAAGATCACTAGGTTGTCAAGTGGCAAAAGTCTATGTGAATTTAGGTTTTTGGAGGCAGGGCACAGACTGAGCTTCCTTTCTATTTCATGGTTATTTAGCCCTAATACCCAGACAGATCATCACCACCATCACCACCATCACCACCATCACCATCATCACCATCATCACCACTATCATCAGCAGCAGCGGCGGCAGCAGCAGCCCCACCACCACCACCACGATTATCACTATTTTGAGTCCCCCTCAACAGCTTTCCATCTTTGATCTTTTTTAGGAGTAGCTATCACACAGGTGTGTGTAGGAAAACAGAAGGGCGACTCAATTAACTGAAGTATCGGAATAGTCACCTTTGATAGGGAGAGAGCGGTTGATGATGGTCTTTTCCTGGGCTAGCCTGCTTACCTTGAATACTTTGAGGCCCTAGCCTTCTCGACAAAGATCCTGGATGGCTGAAACTTTAAAGTACTGTGGTACAAGCAGCCTTTCTTTCTTTTCTTTTTTTTTTTCTTTTTGGTTTTTCGAGACAGGGTTTCTCTGTGTAACTCTGGCTGTCCTGGACTCACTCTGTAGACCAGGCTAGCCTTGAACTCAGAAATCCATCTGCTTCTGCCTCCCAAGTGCTGGGATTAAAGGCGTGCACCACTACTGCCCAGGTACAAGCAGCCTTTCTCCTTCAGCCCTGTCCAGCTCTTGAGTGAATAAAAGACCTGGCTTTTTTTTTTTTTCCCCAGCGAGTAAAATTAGAGCATCGTTTCCCTCCGAATAGTGCGGCAAGAGGCTTTAACTTAATAGCATCTTCTGCCATTGGTTTTCACAAATCAGAGAGTAGGGACTCTGGTTCCTTGTCCATAAGATGAGTCCACTACGACTTGCGTCATTAGACTGTGTAAGTGAGGGGACACGCACAAAGCCTGAGTAGGCTGTGGATCAGGGTGGGAACACAGTACAGGAAATATTACATGTAAAGCATTTGCTGTGGCGCATGGTTTGCAGAAAGTATCCAGTAAGTGACATCTGACGACACAATGATTAAAAAAAAAAAGCCAGTTTTCTTCAGTGTGTAAAGGATCACATTGCAGTCCCTTATATATTTTTTGGCCGTTTACATGCCCTTGTTTTCTCCAGAGGAGCTAATGAAATGGAGTATGAGGCCCACAGTGTTCTGCAGGAAAAAAACTGAGTCAAGGGTGGGTGCCCCACTGCTGGCTTTCATGGACGTCCCCTCTACTCAGACTTTTCACTGTGGTTATGGAAGGCCTGGCTGTAGCCTAGGGCCTGGGCCAGCTGCTTTCTTTTTCACCTTTTAGGAGCTGGAGAATGGAAGTCCCTCACAGGGCAGAACTCAAAGCCTATAAAACAGGAGGGCAAAAGAAAGGAGGGGTGAAAAAAAAGGGAAAGAAAGCAAGCTGATAATTTCCTCGAAGGGTAAACATCCGATTTTTTTCCTTACCCCAAAATAAACATGCTAGCCACAAGGAATTAAAAGCAGAAGACAGAGGATGTCTCAATTTGGGGGTTGTTCTAGTAAGCTGACCTTCTATTTATCTTAGTCCTGGGCACCAATTGAGCTGCCAATTACACTCTGCCCCTGGCATGGTAAGGGTTTTGGAGAGACAGTTCCAGGGAACATGGAACCCAGAAAGTCCCTTCTCGTGGCTGTCTTCCATGACACTGCAAATGGAAACTTCCTTTTGTTTCTTATTTTAGCTCCACTCACAGACTTGCCTGGTGGGACAGAGTGAGCAGGAGGTTCCTTTTGCCCTGGGCTGGCATCAGATGTGCTACTAGAACGTAAGCATTGGTTCCTGTTCTTTTGGGCAGGGATCTGAACCTAGCAATGGAAGGGGGCAGCAGCCAATGCTCCCTTCCCTATGTCACAGACTCAGTACCCCCGAATTGCATTCTTTAGATCTAGTCGTGAAAATTAACTAATGAGTTGAGTGTGTTTTACAGGGCGAAGGGTCACCTGGGGCCCCTGTGCCTGTGGCCATCACGGGACATGCCTCTAAGAAGGTAATAACCTCATCCCTAGCTTCATCCTGCCCCTTTCATCTGGAGATCTCAAAGCACGCTGTAGATGAGTCACCGGTGCAGCGGCTGTGTCTACGCCAAGGTCTCCACGTCTTGTTAAATCGTGGAGGGAACTGATCCAGGGGATCTTGGGAGGAGTAGAAAGGACTGGGGTGGAGGTAAAGCATCTGAGGAGCAACGGCTCATGCTGCACGGGAGAGCAGCAGAGATGCATTATCAGTGGCTTCTTGGGCAGCAAAGCCAAGAAGCATACAAGGAAACCCAAGGACCTAAGATGATGAAAACCCTTTCTCCACATACACCAAGGAGCCTCCTCATAAATTCTTAAAAGCACACATCTGATTATGATACCTGTCTTTCTCCAATCTCCAATTCCATTCTTTCTCCAATTCCTCATTCCACAAGTTGTTATTTTATTTTTTTGTATAGAATCTATTAAAAACTCTAGCGTGATTAGTTATGAGGGCTGGCCTGGCCTTGGCCTACCTATCCAGCCAATATTCACGCCTCATTCCAGCCCCTTTATCGGCCTTTCATTTTCAGGAAGATGCTACGTTTGTTCCTGCCAGCAACTCTAAGGACACCCTAAGGAAGGCTCTGCCTCTGTTGCTAGTCACTAATCTCTACCCCGCATTCCAGCCTCAACTTCAAATACCACTTCTTCCAAGAGGCCTTGCCTCTTACAGTCCTGCCAGAAACCAGGTTCCCTTTAAAGCCTCAGAACATGCATCACAGTTTGTTAAAACTTGACTGTGCCTCTCTGATGATGAATACCCCCACCACAGACTGTTAAGATCCACTGGAGTAGCACCTCTCTCTGTCAGCCCTGGGTCTGGCATGGAACAGGTGCCAGCTGAACTCACTGAATGAAGGTTGTTTGTTGGAGCTGTAAAGATCCATGGTCAAAAACTCAATTTCCACTACCATCCCTTCCTTCCTTCACTGCCATGGCTGGGGAGGCGGGGCTTTGGGGGGAATGATTTGGCAGCCGGGGCCCTGGGCCCTGATCTCCTGCCTGTCCATCCAGCTCCTAGCCTGACTTGCTTGCATTTGTAAGAAATTCTCAAATCTAGATCTAGACCTCAAATCTGGTCCATTCTTTTTTTTATTGCTTTTCTCTTCTCTCTTCTCTTCCTCTTTCTTCTTCTTTCTCTTCCTTCTGTGTGTGCACGTTCATGTGAGTGTGTTTGCATACACATGTGTTTGCACATGGAGCTTGAGATCAGAGGAAACCCTCAATCATTGCTATTTTCAGGCACATTTAACATGCTGTTTAAGGCAGAGTATATGTCTCCCCACCCTCCTTTCTCTTTCATTTTTTGAGACAGGTTTTTTTTTTTTTCTGTGTAGTTGTGGCTGTCCTGGAACTCACTCTACACCAGACTGGCCTTGAACTCAGAGATCTGCCTGCCTCTGCCTCCTAAGTGCTGGGATTAAAGGTGTGCACTGCCATTGCCTGGCTAAGACAGAGTTTCTTATTGGCCCAGTTGTTGAAGTAGCCTAGACCATTGGCCAATGGGCTTTGGAGATCTGCTTGCCTCTGATTCTCATTTTCCCATGACTGGGCTTTTTACATGGGTTCTGGTTGTCCTAACTCAGTTCCTAATGCTGGCAAGGCAAGCTCTTTATTGACTGAGCCATCTCCTCAGCCCTTCCCTTGCTGTTTTTCAAAGTAATATACAGGTTAGAAAGCAAATTGCTAAGCCCTAGGTGAGTATTTTGTTTTTGTTTTTGTTTTTTGTTGTTGTTTTGTTTTTGTTTTACTTATTTTTATTTATTTTTTAATTTGGAAGATGCCAAGAGGAGATTCCATCCCCAGACCATCTGTAGTGGATTACATGACATGAGCACACACCTGGAAGGTAAAAGTTCCAGCTCAGTGGACAGTTACTTTTGATCGAATTGCTCTTGGTCGTCATTAATTCTACGATAACCTGGTGGTATTTCCCCATCAAACTGAGTCATGAACTGGGTGCTTGCGTCAGGATCTCCCAGCCCAAATTGCTGCAGAAATCTGTCCAGCTTCCAAGCACCTAGAAATTAGACAGACAACAGAGAAACAGTAAGAGATAACCATTGACCTGAGATGCCCTGACAGGGAGAGGTCATCTCCGAGAGGGTAGAGTTACCCTTGATCATCAGGCTAGGCAGTATATATGGCATGGGGGAATCTTCTGGATCCTAGCTTTATGAGGGTCTGGATGCTTGGAGAGCTCCAAACACACGACAAAGTTAGGTGGCTGCTTGCTAGAGGATGATGGGATGTGGCTCAGTGAGTTAAAGACACCTTGGGCTTCTTTCTCCAGCATCTTTTAGTCAATATACATTAGTGCCTTCTCACCCATGTAGCAAGTGTCATCAGATGGGTGCTGACTCTTCCCATGCCCTCTTCTTGAAGGTCTTCAGATTTCTGACATGATAGAGGCTTGGATACTTCCTCTCCTCACACCTGCTTATCCTAGCTGTTGGGGCTGAGATTGGTGGGAGGCTATTGCTGTTCTTACAGTATCCCCCCCCCCATACACACACAGGGCCCCAAGCACCTCATGAAACATGAGTTCTCCTTGAGAGAAGGGAGAAGGGTTGCACTTAGATCCTTGATTGGGATCAAATTTGGGAGACATTTCTTCTGTCTAGTGTTGGAGAATCCTAGTCAGTGCCTAGGCCAGAGGGATCTCTTAGGGGGAAACAACCCAACAAGGTGTACCTTCTGTGATCAGAATGAACGGGTCTCGTGACAGGGAATTAACTGTATATAGTCCTAGGCACTGGAGAAAGTTGAAGGAAGTGGTTGGAGGAACATTCCCATGTCCCTTTCCTAAATCCTAAACTTTGAGCACCCTGGGTAGAGGGTTGTCAGGAAAACTCAGGAAGAACTGGTAGGTCTGGATTTCAGATAACAAATAATTTGCTGTATACCTTCCCCACCTACTTCATGGAGTATATTTATACTAATTCTTTTCTTTTCCTGTTTATTTGAATAACTGTAATTCGTATGTGTCCTGTGGTGTTTTATTCTTTTAGGGGTGGCTAACTCTAGCAATCTTCCTTAGGTGGGAGAGCACCCGGGGAAGGCCTTGCCCAGAGCACAGAGAAGTGGTGGCCAATGTGCTATGGTTTATGGAAACCAGTCATCACTGGGAGCCAGATGGAAGAATGCCAACATGAGCCTGGCAGCCTGAAAGTCTCAGCAGAGCCTCACCTTAGAGTCATAGGACGCTGGTGGCCCCCCCAGTTATAGCCACAACTGCTTTTATAATGAGGATGAGATGAAGTCCACTTACCCACATTTCTTTTCCAACTTACCTCCCCTCCCCACCACATAAGGCTCATGTTTCAATGATTTTCTCAAGGATCAGACAATTTTTTAATACCAGCTTCCAAAAGCTATAAGGCTAATGTGGACATAGTAAGAAGAACAAAGGCACACCCCTATAACACTTCCTAGCAGCCAGTGGTTGTCACAGGAGCGTTGTGTACATTACTTCATGTCACTCCTAATGTAGAGGATTTGTAGGATGGGGTCAGGGGTGGGATGTGGTACCCAGCTGGGGATACAAGGCATTTCTTCAACCTCATCTGACCCAGTAACTGCATGTCTCACCTAGCCTCAAGGGCTGTTGAGTTAGAACTTATGGAACTATCTTGGGAAGGCTGCTGAGATGCTGACCACTTGGCCCGTAGATACGTGCTGACTACACTGGGCAAGTCCATGGTGCAGCTTTGTGTCACTGTCCTTTGTGGACATCATGCTTAGCTAGAACTCCTGGGACCCAGGGGGCCAGGCTGGCTGAAAAGAAATGTTGGTAATCCCACCCTTGGAAAGCATGTGCATACGTGTCCTCTGTAATGCGTGTGGATGCATGCCCTCACCTCCACCAGTGTGTATATATGTGTGTGTGCATCTGTATGTGCCTGCCTGTGTGTTGTGTACCTGTGTGTGTGTATGTGTGTGCACATACATGTGTGTCTGAGACAGGATCTTGGGTGTAGTATGTGGCAGGTATAAAGAGACAAAATGACTTTCTCCTTTCCTCACTGAGTATGACAGGAAGGAGCTTTGGTGTCAATGAAGGAATTGAAACCCATCACGAGATTAGAGTGAGCTGGTGGAAAGAAATCCCCTATGTCCCGAGAGAGGCCTGCCTCCCCTCACACAGGGCTGGCTGGCCATCCCCAACTCCTTTGTGTGAGCTCAGAGTATCCTGAGGTACTTAGGCTCCTTCTGGCTACATTTCTAAAAACCCCATGGTTTCAGCAACTTGGGCAGCAGCTCCACAAAGCCAGGACCTGGGTTGGCTAGTCTCCTGCTGTCTCTTCCTTTGGCTCAGCAGGGACTCCTTACACACCCCCACTTGTTTCCTGCCACAGAGGGCAGGAGGAACTGACCCAGAGCAAGTTCTAGAAGGAAGAGGAGTGAGTCAGGCCCTCAGGGCCATGTGGGGAGAAATGAAGAGCTGTGGCATTTGTGGTCACTGTTAGGAGGAAAGCCCCTTCCTGTATGGCTCTGCTCTGTCCTTGTACTGCAGGAAGAGGGTGGGACCACGACCCTGTTAGCCATCAGGGTGGAAGGAGGTATTTATACTCTGGTGTTTATACCTTGAACTACCCGGAGGGAGCAATACAGAGGCTGGTGTTCCTGCAGCAGGGCCACACAGATCACATGCAGTCTGGTCTCCACACAACCTAGGGACACTCCTTTCATCCCACAGAAGCAGCTGAGGCAGCTTTGCCAAGAAACCACAGTTTCTAAGATCTGATGGGGATGAGGTTGACCAAAGTGCTGATGTCAACCCAGGTGTGGAAGGACTTGAGGGACACATGAGGAACACTACCTAAAATGCTGGAGGAATTTGAACCACACTGTGTGCCCAACCCCACGTTAGGCACCAGGGGTATGAAAGATGAAGGATACCTTCTTCAGCATCCAGGAGAGGGACTATCTCTCTTGAGTTTCACTCCCTGTGAATGCTGTGGCTAGCAGGTTTGGAATGGCCTTGGTGGTAGATGTCGATGGTCACTTTTTCCATTCTGGGCCCCAAGTCCATGGGCCAGCTTTTGCAATTTGGAAGTGGCTGTTGTGTGCATGCATATCATTCGCAGGCCTCTGATGGGACGAGATGGACATTTCCTCTCCTAGAATGTATGCACCTTGAGCTTGGGTGGATCTCTGTGCTTGTGCCTTTTATGTAACCCTGGCAGGGCCTCCCTGGGCCTCTTGTAGGCACAAGTGGTGGTAACTGCTTTATCTAGCTTCCTCTCTGACTTCAGTGAATTTCTTATATTACCCAACTTACACTGGAAGAAAAAATCCACTAGTGTTGGTCAGGGGGAGCCTTGTCCAGGAGCATAGCTTTGTTGCTGGCTCCTGACTGACTGACGCTCACAGACCCTTCAGCAAACTTACTTCCAGATTTCCAGCCAGCATAGTTCAGGGCTGCCTAGCCCTGCTCTGGTGAAAGCCAGTTTTCATCAGACTTTCCATTTGGTCCTTGACATAGGGATGTGGGGTCGGGAGGCAAGTGCCATTCAGATAAGATGGAAGGTTCTTGGCTATTGACTTTGGCCTCCTGCCTGAGGCATTCCATGCAGGGACCTAGGCACCTGGCTCTTAGCTGCCTGAGCCTCAAGACAAGGGACTTGTATCTAACCAAGGTATCCAGCCTCTTCCCTGGCCTTGGCCTTTTGGGAGAGCAGGGGATGGTGGCTCTGAAGAAAACAACACAAATTCAAGTCCAACCTAATAACCACCCCATGGAGAGCCCAGCTCAGGTCTGTAATTTGTTTGGCTCACCAGGGCTGGATGAGGTGATAGAAACGCTGATGCCTCTCCTCAGAGATTAATGATGTCCTGGCAGTGGTGGGCGGGAGGCCTGAGCCTTTTATTTTTTGTGCCATTAAATGACATCCAGAGACTTTCACTCAGGAGCTGAAAAGCCCTCGTTCCATCACATCCAATTACTTCTGGAGAGTATTTGCTGAGTGGCTGATCCTGCTGGCTTGAGAGGCTTTGGGACAGAGGGGCCACAGGGACCTGGGACTTTGGCCCAGATGGACAGGATGGGAGACAGGCCCATAGTGGTAAGGGGCCGTCTCTGCCCTCTGTAGAAAAGAACCCAGGAGAGGTAGAGAACAAGAGGGGATTTCTAGTTGTTCAGCCTGGGGTCACTGGGGTCTCCTTCCATCTTGTAACTGAGAGCAGTGATGGAGAAGCCCTCTCCTGCTCCTGTATTTGGTAGTAGTAGTGGCTGGCTGGAACTTGGGAGTTGTCTGTGGGGAATGGTCTATGTTTAGCCTGGCCAAGGCACATTTCTCCAAGAGACCTACCATCAGCCTACAGAAACTGCAGGTACTTCCTGGACAGAGTGCCTGACTGTGTGCTGCCTAGGAGCTTCCTAGCTGCCTGCCAGGAACCCAGTGGTACCAAGTTCTGCCAGGTGGGTGGGGCTCCATGGAGGCAAAAGAGAGCTCTTTGCCACATGAGCCTACAGTAGGATGTGATCAGGGGCTAGGCCCTGGGGGATTCTGGGACTGGGCCAGACGAACCACTGTGGGAGGTCATGGGGGGTTGGGTTGAGCTGTTTTACAGAGGGCCCTGTGTGTGTTTGTGTCTGTCTGTGTGTATGTGCTGGAGGGTGGTAGTTTGAGGGTGGGGCTGTTCTTCAGATAGGACCTCCTTTCTTTTTGAGCCTCTTCCCTGTATACTCCCTGACTTTCTCTGAGATTTAGCTTTTGCCCACAGGCCTATGGGGTCCCTCCCAGCCTTGTTCCTGAATGTCACCACAGTTTTTTGCTTTTGGGCTCTGTTGCTTTCATGCCTGTGGCCCCACAATGGCCCTGTCCCACTCATCCAGTGAGCCCTGCAGGTGTTCAGATCCATAAGCAAGACTTAGAAGCCAATGTCTGGCAGGCCCATGCCTGTTCCTCCTCTTTGACCCTGGAATCCAGATATCTGTGTGCTGGGGAGTGCTTTACAGCTACCCAGCATCAAACCCTCACCACCCCTCCTCCTTGCTATTTTTGTTTTGCAACAAGTAGACTTTCCCACTGAAGGAGGTGGTGACTGTCACAATGGCCCCATCTTGGACTCGTGGCCTTTGAGTGGTTTCTGGAGCAACTGGTGGCATGTCACCATCTGTCATCCCATAGGACATAGATCATGGAGAACCCACAGATATTCCACAAATCCCAGCCAGCCATCACTACTACCAAATGACAGCCAAGTCCTTCTTCCTACTCTCTTCTGTCTCCACACACAAGAGGAGTATGAGACTGGCTGGTGACAAGTGAGAGCCAGTGGCTTAGATGTAGCATAGTGCAGACTATAGCTGTCTAGGAACTTGAGGCTTAGACAAAGACAAGAAGGGGGTATTATATAAGACAATCACCTTAAGACAAGATACAGTAGCTTCTTGCCTGTCCCTACACCAGAACCCTGAAACCTGGTGGTCTGGATAGAGGAGTCGAGTGTGTTGGTTCTAGCATCAAGAGCCCTTTGCCAGGAGGTTGGTCTGCTGTTACCTGTGGATCTCTGTTTTATCATTGTCTTCAGTTTCCCTCAGTCATACAAGGGATGTCAGTCACTGTCCTGCCTCCTGACATGGTGGGGCAAAGGAAAATACCATTGGGTACAGGTCAGCTGGCAGAGATGGAGCCCTGCTGGTTTAGGGTTGGACAAAGGAAGATGTGGATATAGAGATTGTCATTTGAGAACATAAGTAATCATAAAGGTGGCTGCCTTTTCAGGTGTTGAAGGACGTTGACATGGTATGTATGGGAACCTGGGGGTGTGAGAACTTGCAGATCTGTGTGTGAATGGTTTGCAAATGTGTGTCTGTGGGTGTATCACATATATACACACTTGGTGACTGACAGGCCACAGTAGGCTGGGCACAATGACAGATACTCAGAGGAAAGACCTCTTCTCTCATGGTCTCATGATTGGAAGCAGGGCGGGTGTGAATGGGGCAGTATGTAAGACCACTGAAGAGACTCAGGCAGATGCCTGAGCACAACAGAACATTAGGAGAGCTGGGACAGTGATAAGGACACTAACGGGAGCATGTGGGGGCAAGGCTGAGCTGAGGGGGGACAGCCTGAAGGACTGTGAGGTACACTTGGGAACATTCTAGACGGGGGGAGGGGAACAGCTGGCCCTTCTAGATTGTCAGACAGGGGTGGGTGA